ATATTATATAGTACTTAAAAGAATGAAGCATATGTACAGTCACAAGGATTGCTTCAAATTGATTTTACAAAATATAAAGTAGTATTTATAGAACTGAATTACATTTTTAAAATGCCAAATACACATAAAGGCGTATTATGTATTCATTTGCCTTTTAGAGATAGGGTAATGCCGGATAGTTCAGGCTGGCTGTAAATTCCAGACAATCCTGCTGGCCCCACCTCCTGAGCGCTGGGTTCACAGATGCACCCCAGCCCAGCCAGGTGACTACTGCGACAGTATAGAGGACAATATAGCAAATTTATAGTCACAGTTCTCTCCACAGGGAGGAACAGACAGGGCGAAAGGTGGTAAGAGGGCTAAAGCAGAGTCTTTCCTCCAGTCCACATGCTCTGAAACTGCCTGGCACTTCTTCAAGGGGCAGGTGTACATGCTTTCACATATCAAGCTTTAAAACAGAAAATATGAGGAACACTAAAGCGGGTGGCACCATGGCCCAGTGCTCAGGGTAAATATTCAGCTCTGTGCAGCAACTGCAGGGGGCACTCCAGGATCTGGGTGCAAGGCAAGGCTCCTTGAGCCCCACTGCCTGACTGGACAGCACCACAAAGGTGGCACACGCCCAGCAAGGAGATGTCAGGTCCTCCTAGGGAGAAAAATCCAAGCCTGCCCAACTCCTGCCCCGGGAGGGCCACTGCCTTTCCCCCCGTCTGGTGCCGCAGCAGCACTTCTGAGCACTGCAGCTGGTCCAGCCAATCCTACTGGCTGTGGTAAAACCGCTTTTCCTGAATCACAAAGGGTTACCAGGGCAGCTAATGCTAGCGAGTGACGATTATCATGACAGAAAATGTCCTGATGTGCGGCACATGCACTGTGTAATAGCAAAGGGCTAACACCTGCAGCCATCTGGAGGTCCTGACAATGCAGAGAGTGCACCAAGAAATCTGCTGACAGCATGAAGTAACGGGGAAACCAAAGGAAAGTTTCCACTGAATTCAACTCATAGTCATTTACGCACTCATGCTGCTGAAATTATCTAAGTAGAAGCTTCAGTGATAGCGCCTGTCTAAAATCCAACTACCTATCGATCTATTGTGGTACTCCAGGAGGCAGGCCTTTGTGCTGAGGGAAATTTCTGGCCCTTCTTTTTAATTTTTGAGACAGTGCAACTTCCCAAGTTGCCCACAATGGGCTCAAATTTGCAATCCTCTTGCTTCGGCTTTCTAGAGTGCTGGGCTACAGGCATGTGTCCCCATGTCCATCTCATGAATTTCAATGAGAATAGTACAATACAGTGGCACAGGGACACAAAAAACAGAAATGCCTTACTTTTAAGTTTTCTTCTTTAGTTTAAATCTATTCACAGCATCTCATGCACTAAAAATCGTAAACCAATGAAGGCAAAACAAGACAGTGCTATTCTGAGTTTGGCCACCACAAACGGAAGGGCAGTCCCATAGGACAAGTTTCACAACATCACCTCTGAACAGTAAACATACTTATCCTTTTCTTTTCCTCCACCGAATATAGGATGCAATAAAACTCCCCCAGTTTTCAGTTCATATGCCACTATTTTATCCAGTTCCTAAAAAAGATTCAAAAATAAGTCAGTAAAATTTGTTTATACACCAAGTTTTAGAAGTAAACTACACAATACTCTTTCTTGGACTCCAACAGAAAAGTTCTCAGGGTGTTAGATGACTCAGGGCCCAATAAACAGCCAAGAGCACAGGCGGCTGAGGCTGAGAACCTGAGAGGCTAAAAGCCCTGTGGCTCCCGCCATCCTCATCCCCAGCTGCCACTGCCCGATGCTGCTGTTCCCTTCTTGAGGTCCTGTTCCTGGAAACGTGGGCAAGTGACAATACTAGTGGGGATAAGTTAGCACAAGCGTCCATCATCTTTAAGTTTTTCTAGACTTCTCTACAAAAAATAGACAAAGCACAGTCATGCCGGAAATTCCTGAGTAAGTAACACAGCTGCATCATGGAAAGGCAGTGACCAGCACTGCGGACAGTGGGACGCCGGGCAGTCATCTTCCACTCCCCATTTCTCATCTGCAAGACCCTGATGACAGGTGAGCTATGAGCTGCTGCAGGAGGGTGACGGCAGGAGCAGCAGTAGGTTAGGTTTCCTTCTTCTGAAAAGCAGAACGGGTTCCTACAGTTGTGGATGCCTGCAGCCCTTCATGGCTCGAGCTGTTTAACTTTCTGGCTGAACTCATGTTTAGATAACAAAAGATGTAAAACACGAAAAAAGAACAGACAGAGGGGGTCTGTTCAGTGCGCACATTAAAGCTGGAAGCTTCCACCTAGAAGGAAGCATCGATCTAAGCACCACATGACCACAAGGCTGTATGTGCGGCCAGAATGGGACATGCAGCACAGTGGATTTTAACTTCTTGACCAAATCTTTACGCGACGGAAAAAGTGGTAGTGGAGAAAGTGGTGGCGAAGAAGTGAACACAGACACATTACAGGGCTATGAGCACATAATCAGCAGCTATATGAGCAGAGGGGCATGCACAACCCACATGGGCTGTGTCCGAGCTCTGTGCATGAAGGCGCTGCCCTCGTGCTTTACACAGATGCAGGCGGGAAGCCGAGCTTGCCGCAAAGCTCAGCACTGATGGAACCCAGGCCCATGAGGAGGGCTGGCACACATCTACCAAGCACTCTGGCCAGCATTCAGCATTCTCTTCCTGAGGGGAAGGAAATCCTGCAGGAGCAACCCCAACAAGGGAAAACACACAACTGCTGGGGAGATAGCTCAGTGGCACAAGTGCCTGCCTAGGAGCACAAGGTCCTGGGTTTGACTGCCAGTACAAAATAATACAGAAAGAAAGGAAAATGCATACAGCCAGTCACTTGCCTTTGTAGCAATTTGCATTTTACAAGGAAAAAAAAAATGTTAGTCATTAAAAGGAAAGGACAAGAGAAGAGGAAGTCAGGAGCACTAACTCTCAGTGTCACAGGCGTAGGCAAATGCACCTGGGATTACCTCTTTAATCCAGTGGCGGTACTCATTCACACCAAACGTTTTCTTCATCCACAGTCCATAAATATAGCCTGAAATCCCCTTCAGCACCCATTCATCAGACCTAGGCAAAAACTCAAACCGTGAGCATTACCTACACATTTCTGTAGCACCAGAGTCCAAGGCCTCACTCTGTACCCACTGCTTCTACCTCTCCAGCCTCGGAGGTAGAAGATCATGGACTCTTCCCTCGAGGGTAGGGGGGACACAGCAGAGGTGTGTATACCTCCCTCCTTGGCAAGGGCCTGAGACTGACCAGTGATGACTTAGCTGGCCCATCACTGTGCCTTCCTACCCGGCTCTCTATGAGACTGAGCCCGCATCAGGCTAACCCATGGGGTTGTGCCACCTCTCCTACTGGCACCATCTGCTGCACAGAGATGCCTGCACTGCAGGTCCTGAGCTTCACGTGCAGCAGAGGCCAAAGTCCAAACTTTGCTACTTGTGTTTTTCTTCATCTCTCTGGAAAAAAGGCCATTGACCCTGCTCACCCATTTGCCTATCCACACTGTCATCCCTTTATCCATTAGTTAGGCCTGACACTGCTTTTTGATAGTTGTGTAATTTAAAGAAAATTACAAATCAAGAGGCTGTCCCTGCCACCATGAGAAAAAAGCAGCTAATGTTTGTACAGCATACACAGCATAAAGTGGTGATGGTGACCCTTTTAGAGGCCAAGTGCGCTAACTACAACCCCAAGCCCACTCACTTAATGCACAGTGCCAACGCTGCAGTTAACCTGAGAACTGCACAAAGAACAACTGTTATCTGATGTGGGGCTGCCGGGGTGACTGGGCTCACGCATGCACCTGCTGCAGGCGCCACCAATGGTATGAAGAATCCCACAGTCAGAAATTCCCATCTTAAGGGAGTCTTACGTATTTCTTTAAATTCATCTCAAGTTAAACAAGCAAGCAAATCCCTGTACTGTCATCAATACTGCAGGGAATCAGTTTGCCCTAAGCGTTACCCGGACATTTCCAACTGCTCTGAACACTACAGATGGATAATTCTCCAAACATTCAAGTTATGCACATTCAGTTATTGGAAAGTATTTTATCAGAATTTTTATCTGATTTTTATGATATATTACAGAAATATTCTGTTTTTATGGCCAAAAAGTTAGGCTGAAATTCATACACCTCTTTTTTTTTTAATTTGGTGCAGTTCAGACTTGTACTGATGCTCCTGCCTCAGCCTTCCCAGTGCTGGGATTACAAGCGTGCACCACCATGCCTGGTTTCGGTTTCCAGCATGGCTTGCCTGGGGTCCCAGGGCCAGTGTGGCATGCAGGACCACAGTTTAAGCCCAGGTCCCTGCGCTGGCCAGGCAGGCGCTTAGACCACTGAGCCATCTCACCATATATTCTACGTATATCTATACTGTCCTTCAAAGTAGGTATCTGCAACTCCGGTAAAGGTCATCTCCCGCCAAAGGAAAACAAAATGAATGCGCGGCTCCTTGGCTGCTCTTCTCTGGAGCTGTGAACGTGGAGACCACTCACTTACCAAGACATTCTGGAGATGAAGCATCCAAAAAACTGCTGGGCCAAGGACTGAGCCAAGCACCTCCTCGTCAGAGGGGTCTCATCGATAATCATGGCACTGTGCAGAAGGTTCGTACTGGAATTCACAAGGCGAGGACACTAATTACAACGAAGGAGTAAACAATCATGCAGCCAAGAAAACAGTCACTCATAAAAACAGTGGAATTTAAGTTAGACAAAAGACAAAATTCAGAAGTCTTCCACAGAGGTTTCTAAAGCTTTTACCCTTAGCCGGAATTAGGGTCACAATCTTAGCAACCGCTGTGTAGAGCAAGGAAGACAAAATTTGTCACTGAGCACATGGACAACACACAGAACTTCAGGACAAGGGAGCAGAAGCTGTGACATTCATAAGACACTGACCTAAATCAATGAGGCTAATGTCAATAATCTTAGTAATAACCACCAACTTTTTGGCTGTATCATGTACTTTTAAGCAGATCACCCCACTGGATTTTCCCAACACCACCCTAGAAAATGCAGGGGCGGTATTACGCCTCCATCTTACATAAAACTTACAGATCTGAGACTTTCAAAGAATGAGCAGGACTGGACTACATTGGAATATTTTGCTGAATTCATGCACCTATAATATTTAAATGACAAGGGAATACCCTTCTCTGACAAAACTAAACAAAAAGAGGGGATACAAATAAATGACCATTTTGCATCTGTGTATTCAAAATAGTTAGGATAGATATGCGGGTACATTCTCTTAATTCAATGAATAGAAAGATTTGTACTAATAGTGTTTGTGGACAGGATACCATGTCTGCATCTTGTACAATGAATAACCACTAAGACAATAATATGCAATGTATTAATTATTGAAACTGTCCCACTAATCAGATTTGAAACTGTCTCATTGCTATTTATTTCTCAGTAAAATTGGGGGGGAAAAAAAAAGAATGAGCAGGAGCGGAGGGGTTGGGTAGAACATGCCTGTGTGTCCATAATCCAGGCTCCTAGGGAGCCTGAGGCAGGAGGATTGCCAGTTCAAAGCCAGCTTGGGCAACCCAGGGAGACCTTGGCTCAAAATTAAATAAAAAAAGGGCTGGGAATGCAGCTCTGCAGTACAGTGCCTACCGAGCACATTAAGGCACTGGCTTCAAACCGCAGCACCACCAAAACCAAATCCGCTCACAATCTATTCTTCCCACAGATTTCTGATCACATTAATAAACTTTAGTCTTACTAGATATCAAAATAATAATATTCATTTTTAAAAAACTTACAAATAGAAAAAAGACTAAAAAAATAGGGAAAATGCTAGCATCAGTTCTGCATGAAAATGTGTTTTGAGTTACGTCAAAATTTTTTTCATGTTTTTTCCAGATTTTTGAATTTTAAAAACACTAGGTGTTTGGTTTTTTACAACGTCTACATCTAAGTTAAAGAAAAAAGTCCAACTTAAAACTGATCATAGGGTCGGCAAAATAGCTCAGCAGACAAAGCGCCTGCTTAGGCAAGAGCAAGGACCAGGCTCAATGCCTGGTAACGCATGCCATGCGGACCCCGCCCTCAGGCACGCTGAGCCAGCAACCAAGACCAGGCGTGGATCACAAGTCCGATCTGCATAGTGAGACCCTATACCAAATACATTTTTAAAAAAACTGATCAGAATGAAAGCAACTTCTCTTCCTCTCATGACTCCATGTAGTGTGCTTTTTGCTAGAGGAGACACTGACCTGAAAATGCTCATGGATGCGTACGCAGCCACCTCGACGTACGCCTCATCGATGAAGACAGTCTTAAAGCAGGAGTACGGATACCGGCATGTGAGGATCTCTTCATAGAACTCAAAGACCTCGTGGAGGTAAGACGTGGTGTGTTTAAGCAGTGGAAGAAGCTGGGGCAAACAAAAATGAGTGACCTGAAAAGGGAGAGCAGGAATGTCATGGAGTGGAACCGTTCTGGGGACATTAGCCTAAATACCTCAATTATAAATGTTTACAGTAGTCCACAAAAACAAGCTGTTGTAAAATTAGTGACTACTTTTACTAAAAATTTACAAAACAAATATTCACTGTACTGAAAAGTTAAATCCATGATGGATGGTAAGACTGTGAAATAATAATTAGACTCACTGGAAACACGTTTGGTCCCACATTACAATGTCTTTTTTTTTTTTTTAAATTTATGTGTGTGTGTGTGTGTGTGTGTGTGTGTGGCCAGCTCAGCCCACCAGGGGGCGGGGCTGGCTGGCATGTGGTGCTGGGGATTGAACCGCGGCCGCTGTGCTTTTGCTTAGCTTAGCTTGTTCTAAGTAGGTGCTTTAGACCACTGAGCCATCTCACCAGCCCCATACAATGTCATCTGATAAGCACAACAACATTAAATTCCCAAGGCTTATTATAGTTTCACTTCTTATGTCGCTAACCTAGTAGACGCTGCACATTTTATAGTGCTTAGTCATTTTTCATTGTCTTTTTGGTTTGCTTTCTGTGGCGCTAAGCATGGAGTCCAGGCCTTGCACCCGCCAGGCGTGCACCACCGTGTACACCAGCCTATTTACTCGGCACCAGTGCCACGGGCACAGTGACTCCTCTGCTGCTATCACAACCATACTTGAGGGCCACTGCAAACTAACTGGAAGTCAGGGGATACAAAGTGCTCGCAAGAGACATGGTGATTCTGGTTTTCTTAAGTTACATCTCACCCTGGACACACATCACAAACTCATGGGACAACCTGCTGAGTGACTGCAACTGGAACACAGCCCACTGTGAGCACAACACACAGTTACGTTTCATGCAGGAGACAGGAAGTGAGGTGCTCGCTATAAACGGGACAAGAGCCTGAGAAGTAGGAAAGGAAAGCGGACCGCCTAGACAGTCCAGGGCTCCAAAGTGCAGTACTTATATGAGTCAAAGACAGGAAGAAATATGTTGCAATTACAGACATAGGTAAACCAATTTGAGTATTTTTAAGTGGAAAGGAGGGGACTGTGTAGGGCATGAACCCTCTTCTGGTCAGGAGTGCGAGGGCAAGTGGCAGGGACAGGGACAAGTGCTGCAGCTCACCTCGTGCATGTAGGGGTCCACAAGAATCTCGAAGGGGCCTATGGCCAGGGAGATGTTGGAGGCCGCAGTGGGGATGGTGAGCATGTAGTGGAAGGTCTTCTTCCTCATGTCATGGGTATACACCGTCTCCACTAGGTCTCCGTTGGACACAGCCACCATGGCGGCATCCACTGTGAACTCCAACTTCCATGTACACAGCTCAGAGTACGAATCCACACACGGGAACCAGAACCTAAGCACAAGATGACCATGTGGGAACACACAGGAAGTGTGCTCTCATCTGCCCCCATCCAAGTTACAGAAACACTCCATCCAGCCCATGAAACTCTTTAGTCTGTTTCTTGAAAGAACCTTATTCAAAAATCTACTTCCAAGTATTATTTAGCAATATTTAGAAAAAACATCATCTGGCACCTCCAGATTAAAACCTAAAAATTATTCAATTCTTGAGTTTCCTATTTCCAAATTAAGAAGTTTTACTTGTATATTCATACTGGTCAGTTTTTCTCTCAGCATTCATTTCAGAAAACTAAACAAATTAAAGTATATTTAGGGCCGGCCACACCCCCGGGGCATGCTGAGAAGGCAATTGAGACTGGGCGTGGTGGCAACCGCCTGTAATCCAAGCGCTTGGGAACTGTAAACAGGCAGAACACTACAAGTCCAATCTAATAGTGAGACTCTCAACACCCTGTAGACCCTTCCCTAAAATACAAAATAAACAAAATAATTAAAATAAAATATATTTAATCTTCAGAATCTATTCCAAAAGTTAGGAAACTGTCTTTTTCAGAGTACACGACAGTGTATAAATTCAAACTGAATGCTGCCAAAGCCAGATATAAAATTTATTTTTTTCTATTAACTTAGGTCAGTCCTATCATGTGCCAAGTCACTACCATGCTTTTTTTTTTTTTTTTGTCGGAACCAGGGATTGAACTCAGGCCCTTGCGCTTGCCAAGAAAGCACTTATTCCATTGAGCCATGTCCCTAGCCCCACTACCATACTTGTTGTGGAAACATAAATGAATCTAAGACATGATTCTTGGCTCACAGAAGGCAATACTGTGAGAACACACACAATGAAACTATTTCAGCACTGAACTACAAACCTATGAAAATCGACTTGTGGACTATTACACAGGAAGATGTAGGTAAATCTCACTTTCAACGTTAAAAAAAACCAGTTATAAAGAACATAACACACAGCTCCCACAGCAAGTATAACGAGCCAGGGGCACGTCAGGCATCAGGGCGGCTGGACAGCTGACAGGAAAGTCTGCAAGGCAGTGGCTGGTGGGAGCAGGAGGACAGCTCCATGCTGCTACAAAATGCTGTCCTGATTAGATGGATTGTAGATTAAATGGATTGTAAAAATTCATGAAGCTTAAAATTTGTGCCATTTCTTATACACATGTTTGACTTCACTATGCAATTAAGAAAAGAATCAAGTAAAATGATTATTTCAAAATGCTACACTTGGAGGGACAGGAGAGGAAGACAGACTAGAGGGAATAATGGACTCAGGTATGGAGGAGACGAGTGTGGGGAAATCAGACTCACACTGATTTACACTAAGTGCAAATTTACACTGCATACACATGCACTGGGAAAATAAAATGAGTTGAAACCACCAAGAGCTCCGAAGGTACCTCGTGGAGTTCTGGTAGCCGCAGGAGAAGACGTGGGCGCCGCGCTCTGCCATGCTGCCCTCCACACTGGGCACCACGAAGTGCAGGCCTCCTTTGGGCTGATCCAAGGAGAAGTTGATGTGTATCTTCAGGACCTTCAACTCTGCAAAACACACACAACCACTGCATGGCCCACGGCCACGTAACAGTGAGTGTAAGGTGGGAAGCAAAGCCTGAACTTTAGATTAACACAGCTCACAGTTGGGGCTTCGTCGTCTCTCACCCCACACCGACTCAACAGCCAGCCTACTCGCACTGCTGTCCCTCCCAGGAGCACCGGTTCCTGCACTCCTCATCGCAGCACCTGTGACAGCACAGCGTCTGAAGGCAAAGTCCCCAGTCCCGCTCCAGACACCTATGGCTTTCTCACCCAACGCCAGACTCAACACTTTAGGTTTTACCTCCTTTTACACTTCCCTGGATCGCTTCTCAGCCTTTTGGCTGAGATCAAGTGTAACATTTCCCTGGAAACTTCTAATTTTATAAGTCTTTGAAGTTAAAAGAAAGGGGAGGGAGGTTAATTAGGACTCTCAAGAATTTGCAATATGACTTCTGTATATTAAGCACATGCTGCCAAGCATGGTGTGTGCACCTGTAATCCCAGTACTTGGGAGGCTGACGCAGGAGGATCACTGTGAGTTCTAGGCCAGCCTGGCTAAATGGCAAGACCTTTATCTCAAAAAAAAAAAAAAAAAAAGGGCTGACTTGATAGCTCAGCAGACTAAAGCGCCTGCTTAGGCAGAGCACAACAGCCAAGGTTCAATCCCCAGGCACGCCCCCAGGGCGTGCTGAGAGGGCTGAGACTGGGCATGGTGGCACACGCCTATAATCCCAGCACTTGGAAGGCTGAAAACAGGAGAATCACTACAAATCTGATCTACGTAATGAGACTCTGTAGACACCTCTTCTAAAAGAAAAAGAAAAAAAATGCTATTTTTATTAAAATGTTGCAATATTTAATTCCCCCAATATTATAATCATCTGAACAAGCACTGCTGAAACTCTGGGCTGTGCTTAAGAAGGGGGGATCCCTGTCTACAGCCCCCCACCCTGGCCCACGGACATGAGGAGCAGAACCATACTCTTTCCCCTTCTTATCCTGGCTAATTTTCAGAGTGAGGGCACATAGAGCACTCTTAGGATACATCAAGGGCTGCAACTCGACACAAGGAGAACGAAGATGGGAAGGACCTGCCCTAGAGGTCTGGGATGGTGCCAGGAGCTAGTCTAGCTCCACTGCCAGGCTTAGCACAGAGGGCTCCGGCGGTCCCTCACGCTCACCACACCCACACTGCTGTCCTGTAAAATGAAAGACGATGAGACGACTTTAAGGATCCTTTCATCATGCCACTGTACAGGCTCTCAGAGCCGGACACACTGTCCCATCCATGTGATTTTTACAAACACCTTTCACTTGGAAAGCAGCAGTGAAGTTGGCCAGGATGCTGCTCGTGGTGGGGCACTCGCCCGCATCCATGACATCCTCAGCAGCGCACAAGCCCACCCTAACAGTGAGACGGCCTGGCCCCAAGTCCCTTCAGCCAGCACCCTAACGAGAGAGGTCCCACCCCTCTGTGCTGCGCTGCATGAAGCGACCATTAGAGCCCTTCAGCTTCCAGTGCCCGCCTGGCCAGAATCCACGCCGCACTGCAGCCAGGTCAGGTCGCGTTGCCTACCGTCAACGTGCTTCCACAGCTCAGACGGAACCTTGATGCAGAGCTCTCCATTGCCCGCGTCGGGGTCCACAGCACTGACCGCAGCGGCATACGCGTTGGAAAAGTAATTGAGGTTTCTCCTGGAGGAAGTGAAAGTTTCATTACAGCAGGCCACGTGTTTCCCTGAGTTCTCTGCATGTCCCCAACAGCTAAGGATCATTTCTAAGCACTGCTACAAAATACACAAGAATAATTTCAAGCCAGGTAACTGTTGCTCCACTGAGCCCATTAAACACAACCAGAAAGACACTGGTGGGTGCATGTTTTACCAAGCAGTTATGATCATTGTAGCGTTCATTCATTTTGGAATTTTGGGGGCCTGCCCCTTAGCTCAGTTCTTTAAGTGGCTGCTTCAACAAAGCTGTCAGGCTCAGGTTGCTGTGGTTCGATCCCCACAACTGAAGCCAGACAAACCTGCCCTGAAGGCATTCAGAGCAAAAAAAAAAAAAAATCCTTATTCCATTTTGGAATTTCAAAGCCACTGTACTTACACTGTAAAATGTAAGCAATACATGAAAAACTGGAAAATAACCATGGCAAAATGTGAAGGGTTCAGAAGGCTTTATAACTTGACAAAACCAGAGGCCTGAAGAAGTGAGCAACACCAGTCCACGCCTGTGCTGGCCTCCTGGCGGCCAGGAGCTCCAGGCCCCAGGCACTGCAACACTGCAGCAGCCAGCACTACAGCAACATGAGCCTTGTCATCATGTGGCCTGTCTCCCAGCACATGAAAGAGAAAAGAAAACCTTGCAGTTTAGTTCCATAAAACACCATATGCCATGGACACACATCACATCTCCTCACTGGGTCAGTCAAAAGGAAAAGCCAAAGGACTGAGAGCAAGGTGCAGCGTGCAAACTGCCAGCTCCCACCCTGTCTACGGACAGCCCTGTGGCTGCATCCTGAAACCGGGACAGCTTAGAAGGTCGCCAGACTCTCAGAACCGGCAGAGCGGCCCCCTCTGCCAAGGGTCTTTCTACTGCTTGGAACAGAACACAGCTCTTCAGGATAGCAGCTACCAACCATAAGGTTCTGGAAGTACACAGACCTCTGTGTCTGGACAGTTTTTTTCCATGCCCTATGTAAAATAAAAGGTGTGAAATGTCGCAGCCATTCTGAAGTCAGCACCTCTGAGGGGCAGGCTGAGCAGGGCCCGAGCTGCACTCCCAGCCAGTGACAGTGAGGCTGCACACACCACCTATTTTTTCAGTGTGATCATACCATGAAAGCCACTTTGCTGTCCTCTAGGTATGCAGTTCTATAAACTTCAGCACACGTGAAGATTCAGGCAACCACCCACCACAGTCAGTTCCATCACCCACAGAAGTCTCTGTTGCTATACCTTGTCCCTCGAATAGTCACAGACAGGCTTGTCCTATTGCCCAAATCCAGGTGTGCGTCACCTGGATCAGTAACTCACTCCTTACAAATGAGCAGCATTACACTGTGTACATTGTTTTTCTCTAACTGCGGCCAACTTCTGGTCACAACACAGCTGCTACGAGCAGCTGCACAGGTTTTTGGAGAATACGAGCTTCATCTCTATGGCGCAAACATCAGGAATGGGTCCTCTGAGTCCCACAGTAAGCACATGTTTAATTCTAGGAATCTGCAGCCTGCAGTCTCTGAAACAGCTGTCTGGACTATCCCAACAATGGAGCAAAGGGCCAGTGGCTCCAAACCCTCACTAGCAAACCCTTAGTTTCAAAGACTATTGTATGTACAGGTTAGAATGTCTTTTCACTAAAATTTATAACAATGGTATTAGGGGCCGGGGAGCTGACTCAGTAGAATAAGTGCTTTCCTGGCAAGTGCAAGGGCCTGAGTTCAATCCCCAGTTCCACAAAAAAAAAAAGTATTAGATTGCTAAAAAATTTTTACCCTCCCCTTCCTAGTTATCTTTAAAATTAAATTAAAAGGGGCTTGAGTATAGCTTAGTGGTAGAGTGTATGCATAGCATGCACAAGGCCCCAGGTTCAATCCCAAACACTCTCTCTCTCTCTCTCTCTCTCTCTCTCTCTCTCACACACACACACACACACAAACACACACACACGTAATTTATTCAAAAGGGAACCCCATGGTACTGCCAAAAAAAAAAGGAAAACCCCAGCTGGGCTTGGGGGCACACTCCTGTAATCCAGCACTGGGGC